TACCACATCTTCTTGATCCAGTCATCTATTTTTGGGCATTTGGGTGGTTTCCAGTTTTTACCTATTGTAAATAGTGCTGCAGTAAACATAGGGGTACAGGTGTTCTTTTGAATCAATGTTTTTGTGTCCTTTGGGTAGATCTTTAGGACTGGAATTGCCGGGTCATATGATTGCTCCATTTGTAGTAGACTGAGGAACCTCCAGACAGCTCTCCATAGTGGTTGGACCAATTTACACTTCCACCAGCAATGTAGGAGAGTTCCTTTTTCACCACATCCTCATCAACCTTTTTTTTGTTGTTGCTTATTTTTTTGATATGTGCCATTCTTACTGGTGTAAGATGGTATCTCAATGTGGTTTTGATTTGTATTTCCCTGATTATAAGGGATGTTGAACATTTTTCATATGCCTGTTGGCCATTTGCATTTCCTCTTTGGAGATGTGTCTTTTAAGTTCTTCTGCCCATTTCTTGACTGGATTGTTTACTTTGTTTTTGTTGACTAGTGTGAGTTCTTTGTATATCTTTGTGATCAGTCCTTCATCAGTTGTATGGAGTGCAAAGATTATTTTCCCCATCAGTGGGGTGACTCTTTGTTTTGGTTAATGTCTCTTTTGCTGTACAGAAGCTTTTCAGTAATCCCAGGTGTTTATCTTTTCCTTGACTTTCTTTGCTTAGCGTGATGAGTCTTTATTTATTTATTTATTTATTTATTTATTTCATTATTATTATTTTTACTGAAGTAACATTACAACATTATATAAGTTTTAGGTGTACATGTTTAAAAACCAGCATGTGTATATGCTACATTAAGCCCACTACTAAAACTCCAATTTTATTCTGCACTATAAAATTTTTATCTCTTCTCCAGTTTACCCACCCTCTTCTCGTCTTTCCTTTTTGGTGACCACTAATTGATCTAATAGTTTATAATTTTGTTTGTTTTTCTTAGTTCATCTGCTTGTTTCTATCACATGAATGAAATCATATCGTACTTGTTTTTCTCTGAATGATTTCACTGAACATAAGATACTCTGAAGTCATCCATGTTCAAATGGCAGAATTTCATTTTTTCTATAGCTGAGAGTATTCCATTGTGTTAATACATCACATCTTTTTTATCTGTTTGTCTGTTGATGGGAACATAGGTTGTTTCCAGCTGCTGGCAATTTGAAATAGTGCGTGATGAGTCTTTAAAGATGTTATTGAGATGTATGTCTTGTAATTTTTTTACCTTTATTTTCTTGTATTTATTTTATGGTTTCAGGTCTCATGTCCAGTTCTTTTATACAATTTGAGTACCATTTGAGTACCATTTTTTGGCATCCACATCGCTTCCTTAAGAACACCTTTCACTTCAACCCCATCACCTCATTGCACAGATACATGGTGCTGTGTTGTTTTCTATAGTGCTTTCTACTTTTTTTTTTAATAGTTGAGATCTTGCATCATGAGGCCAAAGACACTCTCTGGGCTGTGGAGGTAGATTTGTATATAACCTCAGTTGTCACTATTCACTGTTGATTTTGGGTCAGTTACCTAAACTCATAGTGCCTCAGTTTTCATTCTCTTTGTAAATGGGGATACTAACAGTGCTCATTACAAAGGGGATGTGAGGTAATGTGTTTCACGTGGGACCTAGTGCATTGCACTCAGGAGTTTGTTACTTTCATTGTTACTATTGACTAACACAGTGCCAGGTACATTTATGATGTTCCACAAACTTTTATTATTGAAAAAAAGAAGACTGTAGAATCCAAGTTCTGACTGCAAGCCTGATAATTATCCAAGATTGGTAGTGAATGCTAACCTTTGTTAAATGTCATGGTTTGGTCAGAAGGACCATGGGAGAGTGGGAAAAGCAGTTGGTTGCCATTTTGGCAAAGACTCCTAACATTAATTATTCTTCCCTTGAGGAAATAGCACAGAGGTGAGTTGTCTGTATGACTAAAGTCACGTCTATATATAGCAAGCACTGAAAGAGTTGAAAAGGTAGGACTGTGAAGATTTCTCACTCTGATTCGACATGGGATCCTAGACACACGAGGGAGTAAATATGTGGCTTTGCATTGAGCACAGGTGCTCTGAAAAAGAACTTAGAAGACTCAGTTTCCACAGATTTCCTCATCCAGGAGACCTTACATCATCTGCATGTATCTTGGTAATTGGATTTGCTTTTCTAGCTTTAAAAATGGCTACCATGTTTTTAGGGCTAATATTATGGCTATCAGACCAAATTCTATACAAAAACTAAAAAAGCCTGTGAACTTCTCTGAGTCCCATAGAAATAGAAACCTGCTAGGACTACTGAAATTTTAATCTGCTCTCCAAGCTCATTTTAAGTACAAAGTAATATATCTAAAGGGAATGGGGGAAAAAAGTCTAGTCTCTGGGATAGTTTATTATTCAAAGCTGTCAGGTCAAGCTGAGGAATTCTAGCACACAGCATTGTTATGTAAAAGAAGCACAACTTTTCTGATTTTTCCTTTGGGATTTTTCTAGAAACTCTTGGAATGTTTTTTTATAGTAAATTTACAGTATTTTAAGATAACCATGACTCTATGGCATGTACTTGGGATTGAACCCCGAAAGATTCTAAGGATTGAGAATGTAGAGTCAACTGATGACAAGTCAATAGCTCAAAACCCTCAATATTGAGGTGGGCAAAATAAAAGTTCAAAAATTAAAAAAATATGCTTTTATTAAAGAAAATATTGAGGTGAGCAAAAATAACTTTTTATTCTAATCAGTTTGTATGTAAGAACTACCTATGACTTATTTGTCATATTTTTCTTTGATATTGATAATAACCGCCATAATTAACATGCTTGATGGAAAGTTTGGATTCTAAGCGCAGCACAGCTTCTTAAAAAATAAGTCTTAGACAGCTTTGTGGTAAGTCATTTTCCTCTTCCTTTCTTTCTCTTGCCTTCATTTATCCTTTTCTCTTCCCCTTCTTCCCTCTGCTTCTCTCCCAGAAATTATGTCTGTATATTGTGAGAATTGAAGGAGTTGAGAAATTGGGAGAAATCTTCTCTCCTCTCTCTTCTATCCCTTACCCCCCTCCTCTTTTATCTCTCTCCACATCCCCCCCTCTTTTTCCCTCCTCCCAAATGCTTTATAATACCTCATGTTGGCCAGGACTGTGGGTATAAAAATGAATAGCTCATAAGACTGGTGTGGCACAACATTCTGCAAAGCATGTATGTGAAGATGAACGGGGTGGAAGTTCCCTGTTTCCTGGCAAACTCCACACTCAGTCATAAGAGTCCAATCTGGAAAGTGTAAATTTGCTATGTTTTGGGATATGGATTCAGCGAATGAATTAATGAAATGAATAGACAATAATTTCCATAAAACAACCAAAGTAAATAATGATTAAATCTTTAGGATAATGATTCTCTTAATAGCTTTTTGTTGTTGTTGTTGTTGTTGTTTTGGTGGGACCCTCGCCAGTGGCTGGGGAATGAACTGGTGGTGCTGCAGAGGCTGCAGGCAGCCTTGCAGCTCAGCGCTCAACCGCTGTGCCACCAGGGGAGGCCCTGTTGTTGTTGTTTACCTGCTGTCCTTTCTTGTTGACATTAATCTTTGTTTCCCTTGTTCTATTTTTCCTCACTTGGTTATCACAAGTTTTCAAAATCTTTGTTGGAGGTATTAAGAGACAATTTTGAAAGTTTTTTTTTTTTTTTAGTAATGCTCCCAGTAGAATAGCAAACATATAATAGCAATCATAATAGTAGTATGGTAAAATATTTAATCTTCACAGTAATCTTAAATATAGATCTATTTATCATTTGTTAAACAAATTGAAAAAATTTAAGCACAAAGATAATTTAATGCTGTAGTTCTAATAAGGGTAGATCCTGAACCCCAAACCAAGCCTTTTGAACCCATGTCTTCTTTGTTTCTTAATGCATTTATACATTTCTCTTTCACTTTTTTCTTCTACCTTCTTTCATTTTGAGCTGTTTCTTCTTACCCTCTCAGTAAATTCTTTATTTACTTATTTTAGGCCAGTATTGGGTTTTAAAAATGAATAAGATTACAATTGTAGTAAAGCAATTTTTTTTTTTTTTTTGCCATCAAGGACTCAGACTGATGACTACAAAGAGATGAACATGACAGTGTGGCAAGTGCTACAATAGACATTTACCACAACCTGTGAGATTGAGAGAAGGTAGCAACACTATTTCCTCTTTTTTTTTGAGAAAGTGGAGGAGTTTCCAAATGGGTAAAGTAGAAAAAGATATAGTTCATGAATGAAATTCTGTTTTTATTTTAAGGATTTATTTTTATTTATGCATATAATAACTGGGGTGTAGGCCAGAGGTGCCAGGGGTGAAAGGATTCACCAGAGACAAAGTGGGGAACAGAACAGGCAGATCTAGTGAAATACACTGCTGAGGGGAGCAGTGGGTGAGACAGGAGAGGCCTGCTGCACCATGTGGGTTAGTTCCTTCGCTGGGGATTGAACTCATGCCACAGTGGCTGGCAGTAGTTTGATAGTGCTGAGACTTTAACACATGCACCACCAGGATGGCCCCAGAAATTGTCTGGTTTTGAGTCTTTGTGGCTTAAATTAGTGGGGCAAATTATAGTACTCACTGGAAAGTGTGTTCAGCCATGGTGGGGAAAATACATGCATCTTTGGGTTTTTGTGATGGTGCCAAGTGTATATGGCCACATCCTGGATTGATTCTTAAATCTTGATTGGTACTACTTTACTGAACTTAAAAGTTGCACATTTGTATTGTAAATGAAAAGCAAATCAGGAAATCATAAAGAACAAAATATATGCCACCTATATTGTCACCTGTGAGAAGAGTAAAAAATTGAAACAGTTTCTATAGGTTCGTGCTTGTTTTTGTCTTCTCCCAAACTGGAAAAAAATATAAGGCACACTGGATCTTTATTCTTTAAATGAAGATGTTACATTTTAGGGATGAGTATGATTTTCTTTTCAGGGAAGTCACTGGTCACATGGACTGAATTGACAAAGAGGATGAATAATGTGACAGAATTCATCCTCCTTGGTCTGACTCAAAATATGGAACTTCAGAAATTATCATTTGTCGTGTTTTTAATTGTCTACTTGGTCACCTTGGCAGGCAACCTGCTCATAATGGTCACCATCAGCACCAGCAGGGCCCTAGGCGCCCCCATGTACTTTTTCTTGTCTTACTTATCCCTCATAGATGGCTGCTGTTCTTCTTGCATGACCCCGAAAATGCTAGCTGACACTCTTTCTGCGAGAAAAGTCATCTCTTTTAGCGGGTGTATGGCTCAAGTCTTTGCAGAGCATTTTTTTGGTGCTGCCGAGATCATCCTTCTCACCGTCATGGCCTATGACCGCTATGTGGCCATCTGCAAGCCCCTGCACTACACCACCATCATGAGACGGTCAGTGTGCAGCCTCCTTGTGGGGGTGGCCTGGGCCGGAGCCTTCGTCCATGCGACCATTCAGATCCTCTTTACAATCTGGCTGCCCTTCTGTGGCCCCAATGTCATAGATCATTTTATGTGTGACTTGAACCCTTTGTTAAAACTGGTCTGCATGGACACGCATACCCTTGGTCTCTTTGTTGCTGCCAATAGTGGATTCATCTGCCTGTTAAACTTCCTCCTCTTGTTGGTCTCCTATGTGGTCATCTTGCACTCCTTGAGGACATATGACTCGAGGGGAAGGCGCAAAGCCCTCTCTACCTGTGTGTCTCACATCACTGTAGTCATTTTATTTTTTGTGCCCTGCATCTTTGTGTATATGCGTCCAGTGACAACCTTCTCCATAGACAAAGCTGTAGCTGTGTTTTATACAATGATCACTCCGATGTTAAACCCTTTAATCTACACCCTCAGAAATGCAGAGGTAAAAAATGCTATGAAGTTCTGGGTAAAAAGGTGAACTCCATGGAGAAATAATTATAGCAACATAAACTTTCGTCTTTTAAAAGGCAAAGGAAAAGTAATGCCATTTCAAAGGTTCTGGACCTAGTGAACACTGTATGTCAAAATATGTTGATGTTGGCAGAGAGGCCTTTTAGGAAGGAGACCCAGGCAGGAAATGATTATATCACTTTAAAAATACTTTGTGTAGATTTATCGTCCATTTAGTTGTCAAACTTTGATAAGCTGTCAGAATCAACTGTCACCTTGTTGAAATGCTACATTCTCAGCAAACAACTCAAGAGGTTCTAATTTACTCAGATCGCTGTTGAATTGACATGTTTGCATTTTAAACAAATTATCAGTTCTTTCTAAGCAGGTGATCTATGTATATCCTTTGAGTAGCAGTAGTATAGATTACATTTGCACTCTAAGCCTGTTAGTGGATAATCTTATGAAGACATTTCCTGGGAAAAAATATTTTCTAGCAGAAGCTGTGAGACTCTTCATAAATCATGCAGTGCAAACTCATGGTTAATGGTAAGGAGAAGACTTACCATTTATTCTTGCTGAATTATTTGGACTAAAATTGTTATTGTAATTTTATTTGTTCATTCATATTGAGAACTTTGTTTTCATGATTTTTCTGTGTGAAGAGATTTTATGTATCATTTTTGTAAGCACATTTTGGAGTGGCAGGGTTTATTATGAGTAAAATAGTCCTGAGATCAAAATTAGTTTTGGTACATGAAGCGTGAACCACTGCCTCTTTCATGTTTGTGCTAAAAGAGAATGATAGAGATATTAATAATAATCCTAATAAATCTTTGCTATCAATAAATACTCAATAGCTGTTATTATGAATATCCACTATTACTGAGATATCTCTTAACTATGTAGAACCATTCATTAATTATTTGTGAAGGGGAGGTTGAAGAGACCCTTACTTCTCCAGAGTATGCTCTTGGTTCCTTTCTTATAAACTACCAGTATAGATGTGAGTTTATATCTGAGCTCTCATTCTATTCCATTGGTTTGTGTGTTTTTATTTCAGTACCATACTGTTTTGAATACTGTAGTTTTATAGTATAATTTGAAGTGTGGAATATGATAGCACCACTCTTTCTCTTTTTAAATTAATTACTTTTAAAATTATATTAATTTTTACTGGGGTAGCATTGATTTGCAGCACTGCATATAATGTGGGGTTATAGTTTTACACCTCTTCAGGTGTATACCATCACACCACACTTATCAAAACACTTATGAAGCATAATTTCTTTATATTTCACAAATGAATTAAATCATCTGGTATTTGTCTTTTTCTTATGGTAATTCTGAGGCTATTTTTTTCTCCTTGTACTATCTTCCTTATCTTAGTTATATGACTGGTCAGGTGGGTTTTTTTATGTATAAATCTCGCTCTGTAATTTTGTGGAAAATCCCAGTGAATTTAATTATGCAACAATAAGTCTTGGATACATTCCAACTGCAGAACTCCTTGACTAATATCATTAGAAGGTGTAAAATCTTCAGTGATCTATGCTCCTGTTGGGCAGAGGATGCTATCCTCTTAAGATCTGATATAGTTATTTCAGGAGATGCTTTATTAGACTCAAAGCATGATATAAAAAGGGCAAAAGAAGTCCTCTCCAAATCTCAAGTACAACTATTTGACCATACCAATACAATCAAGTGAAATGGGCTAAATATTTGAATGATGTTCTTTATTACCAGAAAAGATCTTACTAGAGAAAAAAAATTCCCTGGTAAGTAGCCAGTTATTACCTTCTGGTATAGATAGGTGATTTGTTCACACTTTTGATAAATTACCAGAACATGGAAAAAATCTTATTTTTCTGTTTGTACTGTGGAATTTCTTTGAAATAGATCTACATGACAAGTTGTACTTCCTGGAATATTTACAAGACCCCATGGGAAAAATGAACACAAATAGCCACAGGAAACCAAATAAATCTTCAAGGAATAATACAATCATTTGCTTTTTGTGTGAATAGTGGATGGAAAAAGGACTTCTAGGTTCTTATGAGTGAGGTTAAGTGTTCTTCAAATTGTAAAGAAGCTTCCACAAGGTAGGACTGTAACATCTAATTCAGAAAACAGGTTTTCAGTTTTGTGAATTTTTTTTTACTATGTAGGAAATTATATCAATTTAGTTTAAAAGAATTGAAAAATTAAAAAGTCTTCTGCTGGCAGGAAGGGACTTTGAAATCAGTCAAGTTATATGCCATTTCAATTTTTTCATTTAAGATATACAACTTAAGAAAAAGTTAGCTTCATATTCTGTGCCTATGTTTCTTCCACTATAAAATTAGAATAACAATACTTATTTCTACAAGGATTACATGTGATAATTAAGTAGACATATGTTTTCTAAAACGTGTATGCTGTACATACTTTGAATAAAATAAAATTTTCTGAATGCACATCAATGTCATGGTTTATTTAAAAAAGCCAGTACAATAAGACTTTTTGGTGTTCATGGCATGTGAATTAAGTCCTTACTAGGAGAGAGAAATTTTAATAAATGTAAAGATCAATCAGCTAGAAAAATGGAGACTTCTTTGAGGGAAGTTCAATATCATTTAGATAAAAGTGGAAAAAATTAGAAAGTTGCTGGTTAGGATTTACACAATACTTGTCATGAACAGATCAAATTATTTTATTTTATTTTTTGACCTTAAAAATATCTATAGTAAATATAAAATAAAAAAATTTAAATGAGGTCAGCAGCATCTTTTAACCTCAAGAGGTATATTTATTTTAAAGCTAGGAGACTGATGATGAAAAGGTGATTTTTCAGGCAGCGCCACCATTTCTATCTTCTATTGACATGACCTCTGGCACATACCCTGAGCCTCAGTAAATTAGTGGATGCTCTGTGATGCTTGGATTCTACCTTACCTAAAAGGCATGGCATGTAAGTATTTTGTAAACATTACTGGTTAAATTTACAATATAACTTTCCAAAAACATTTCCCATTATGTTAGATGTAAAGTGCTTCTGATCTCAGAAAATAGCATCTGAAGGAAAATTTATGGAACTCAGGAGTTGGAAAACATTTTGGATATTTGAGAAATAGCACAAAGTTTTGAAAAGAATAAATCTGGAGATTTGTAAGATAAAAATCTGAGGAGATAGGCTGGGACCAAGTTATCTAGGGTGAAGGAAAAGAGATTGGATTTTACTGAGTGTATGTTAGGAATCAACTGTAGGGATGAGCAGAGGAGTGGTATGATTTTAATAAGAATAAAAAGGATCACTTGGGTTGTTTCAGAAAAACAGATTGTTGGAGGCTAGTGAAAACAGAGATCCTGCCAGAGGCTGTTGCAGTGGAGTAGAAGTAACAAGTATAATAGTTATAGTCACATTTGCAATATATTTTAAAGGGAGAGATTATGAACTTTTGTTTGTATAGTGTTAAGCAGTGTGAAAGGAATAAGAGTGCAGGGCGCTGTCAGATATTTGGTCTGAAAAATAACATGGCAGGTGCTACTCGTAACTAGATTAGTGATACCAGGGCAGGATTGTTTATTATGGGGAATTAAATATTTGGTTTTATAGATACGTAAATGATATCAAATAGAGATACTGGTTAGGTAGTTGCACATACTACTTGAAAATAAGGGAGAAATAGGAACAGAAAGCACACAATTTTAGAAAATTATAAAGGAAAAAGATTGAAGTGAATTCATTAAGAAGGACATTTCAGTGAATTGGGGATGTCTGGTACAGTGATTGTAACATGTTACAGACTACATGAGGTGACCCTATATGGTTCCTTTGTGTCCTTCCAGAATTCAGGTTGAAGGTCCTAAGCTTCAGTTTCTCAGAATGTGACCCCATTTGGGAACAGGTTCTTTACAGAGGGAATTGAGTTAAAAAAAGATTATTACAATGGGCCAGACACAACATTATTGGCATCTATTGGGAAGGGAAATTTGAACATAGATATACCTATAATGAGAACGTCATGTGAACATTAATACAGTCCTCTACAAGCCGAGGAGACAGGAGAGTCCTGGAACATATTCCTCCTCAGTTTCTTCAGAAGGAGTTAACAGGGTCAGCATGCACATTTTGAAATATAAATTGCACTTCTGCAAGTTTCTGTCCTTTCAAGTCACCTAGTTTGCATCAGTTTATTAGGGCAGTTCAAGCAGAGTAATAACACATTTTGATGCGGAGAAGTAGGGTGTTGCTGAAATAAATGCTGAAAAATGTGAAAGTAGTCACTTTGGAATTGGGTAATAGGTAGAAGCTGGAGAAGTTTGGGGTGCTTGATAGAAAATGTCTAGATTGTCCTGAAGAGATTGTTAGCAGAAAGGTACAAATTGAGAGTCCATTTTCATGAGATCTCAGAAAGGAATATGTTGTAGAGAAGATGTATCATTTTAGAGAATGGCTATGTCATTATGAATAGAGATGCAAGATATATAAATGCCAGATTGCCTGTAACTGAGGTCTCAAGTGGAAATATGGATGATGTTATTGGAATCTAGAGGGAAGGTAACCCTAGTTCTAAATTAGCAGGCTAGCATTGAGTGCAGGGATCAGTCATCTACAGCCTGTACTCATGCCGAACACGTAAATTATCTTAAGTGAGTTCTCAGTATTATTGTTTTCTGACTGAATACAACATACATCTTTCAATGGAGTTCCCTCCCTATCCTTGCTCCTCTCATTTCACCATTTAAAGTCAGCATTTATTACTCTGGGAAGCCTACCAAGATCCCAGTTTGATTTAGATGTTTCTTAGTAAAACATGAATACATATATAATGAAACTCATTATTTAATTGTCTGATGTCATCATTATATGGCGATCACAGAGTAGCATATCAGAAAATAGGATATCCTATCTTACTCTGTTTGGTATGAGAATGTATTTTAACACAAAGTTCCTAAGGCAGTTTTTGATTGGATGAGTAAGATTAAACTTATAATGCTTGAAAAAGATGTTTTTTCTTGTTTTGTAGGCAAACTTTCTATATATAA